TTACAACGAGACCCAATGGGTTGGCATTTTTACATCCTAATTGTTGAATTCATGAGTCGATTTAAGCTAGACCACAAATAAAAACCCGGAAGCTCCGTAGGACCGTTTCGTCCCTGTATGGAACTTCTTATTATTGCGCATCCATTATCCCTCATCAAAGAGACTTGATTCCAATACCTTCGATCTCACGCGCGAACATTTAACCTTCAGACGAGTGAGGCGACATACAACGGTGTTAATGTCCAACTTCAATCTATGCATGATCTTATATCACTCTTTCTCGTTTGTCTGAGATGGATAAATTTCTCCACCGGAATACAATTTGCACAAATCCCCATTTTGATAATAATCATGTGCGCATTTATTGACTAGCTTCAAGATAGATTTCCTGGCGTTCTAGGGAGAACCAGTGATCAGTGGAGTTCAACCAGGTCTGTTATGAGATAGTAACTCACTGAAGACAATGGCAGATGTATCGCTCAATTTCATGAATTAGTTTAAGTTAGACATTAACACTATCGGTCAAATGGTTAAGTGATCGAATGCGCAAGACTGACAGGTCATGGGTTAGAATGTCTCGAGTCAGGATCGTGAATGCTCACTGCCAAAGACAAGTCTCAAAATAGAATGAAACGACCATCCAGTGTTCCCAGGTTTTCCATGATGATCTAACTTCTATTAACTCATAATCTCAACTACTCAAATTACTACAATATCCACAAAAACCCATTCTGATATTAAATTCCATTTTCACAATTTGTAAAACAAATCCCTTTGACAGATTGAAATCATGAGTCAATCGAAGCTAGACCACCATGGAAAGCCTGGAAGTACTGGACGGCCGTTTCGTCCTAGTATGGGACTCCTTAGCAGTGCGCATCCACGATCCCGCACCCCACGAGATTTGAACCCAGGACCTATTGGTCTCGCACCAAGCGCTTAACCAATTAGACCACTGAGCTTCCAGGTTTTCCATGGTGGTCTAACTTCAATTGGCTCATCATTTCAATTTGTGAAATTTCTAAAATCTCCACAAACCCCTTCTGATAATAAATCACTTTGAATTATCAAATTTTCACTAGTCTATGCTTCATTTTTAAGGATGACAAATTGTAAACATTAATTATATTGTATACAGTTCATGCAAACATTCTGTTTGTATATTCATGTGTATGCATGTATGTATGTTTGTGTGTGTGTGTAATGTGATATAAATGAATATATCCAAATAAGGAAGTACGCCTGTAATTAACAATAATAAGGATTATATTCACATATTATTGAAATAGGTCATTCATCGTTTATGGTACAGACAAGATTTTATAGATCATATCATCATATGGTGATACATGTATATGCTGATTATACGTGTACATACAATAAGACAATTAGACATGTATAAAAGTTCATTATGAAAATAGTATATAAACCGATCATCATTTATAACATTTTATTCATAATACATTATATGAATAATCATGATGATGTTAACATTCATTCTGTTTACATTGATTCTACATATACATTGTAATACTGATATTCATACAACTAGTTCTATTAAGGATCAACTAGATAATGATCTAGATCCATTGAATATAACAAATGATCCTACTACTACCACTACTACCAATACTACTACTACTACTACTACTACTACTACTACTACTACTACTACAAATAATAATAATAATACAGACACCATTTCATCTATATTCGATCCTAATGTAACTTATGTCATTTTACCAACAGTATTTTATTTAGGTCAAACTAATTTAATTACTGTACGTAGTCGTGAACCAAATACACAATTATATATTTCTATGAATGTTACTGAATTATTACCTTATCCAATTGAAGATCCAAATCAAATTTATTCTTTAAAACAATTAAATACAACAGATTATTGGTATGGTTTAGATATACCATATGAAATCCCATTTATTTTTACACATGATCATTCTATATGGGTTAAATTAATATTTCATTTTACTCATTGTTTAAATTATAAAATCAATCTTATCTCCAATAATAATCATAGTGAGATGAATAGATCATGTATTGATTATAAAACAACTGAAGTAATTCATTCCATTCAATTAAAACAATTACCATTAATTACATTTGGTGAAACAGATAAACCAATTTATAGACCTGGTGAATATGTACGTTTTCGTTTTTTAACATTAAATATTAATCATTTATTACCAATATCAACTAATATTTTATTACCAACAAAGAAATTAATCATACAAAAAGGTTCTAAAGGTCAATTAATTGAAATGAATCAATTAGATTTATATAATTGGTATTATATTATATATGATAGTATTACTATTATAGATCCTATGGATAATACAATGAAACAATGGTTAAATATAACATCTAAACAAGCATATAATTTAACTTTTCCTATATTAAATAATAGTAAAGAAGGTAAATGGAGAATACAAGCTACAATGAAAAATCATCATATAGAAATACTTGAATTTACAGTGAAAAAATATATATTACCAAAATTTACTGTAACATTAGAAACACCGAAAAATTTTACTATGGAATCAAAATATGCTCAATATTCAATCTGTGCAAAATATACAAATGGACCACCTTTAAAAGGTTATATACAATCCATATTATGTGTATGTCATGAATATATATGGGATAAACAATTTTCTAAATTAGATAATGAACAAATTATCCAATCATTATTAAATACACCTAAATGTCCATCGGATCATTATGAAACAAAAACAAGACCATGTATTATTATGAATTATCCTTTAGATACAAATGGTTGTAAACTAGTTAATGTATCAACAAATCAATTTGCCTTAGCAACTAATCAATATTCGAAATGGCAACAAATAAGTATATTATGTACACAAGTTATAGAAGAGAATACAAATTCTAAATTATTTAATTGTATCAAAGGTGATTTGATTCAACAAATTTATCAACCAAGTATACAATTAGAATTACCACAAGTATATAAATCAAAATTACCAATTTTAGGTAAAATTAAATTAAAAAATTTTGATAAAACTATAAATTATAGTGTGAAATTATCTGTGACAGATCAAAAATGGGGTTGTTATTGGCAAAATCTGGATCAAAGTAATGAACATTATTTAAATATTTTACCAATGAATTCATCTGGTGAAAGTCTGTTTTATATACCACCAATTACATCAAAACATTCTATATCAATTGAAGCTGAACTATTACAATTATCAACGAATTCAACAAATTCATCATCATCATCATTGACAAATAGAACCAATTCAATGAATCAAAATCCATCACATTTTTATTATTGGTCATCTAAACAACCATGGATACAAGAGAATAGAATTATTGAAAGTGTTATATTAAGATCATGGGATTCAATCAATCAAATTTATTTACAATTATGGCCACCACGTGATAAAATTATGACAACATGTCCAAATCGAATCCAATTAACATTATTATCAAATATACGTTTATCAGATAAAGCAATTTTTATAGAATCTGTGATCAGGGGTAAACATCAACAAATTATTATACCAGCATTGAATAAACTACCTAATTATTTAGATCATAATGATTATTGTATTAATCGTGATGATGAATTAGGTCATTATAATTGTTTAGGTTGGAATTCAACAGAAATTGAATGTTTACCTGGTTGGACTGGTGAGAATTGTTTAATTCCTATATGTTCTATAGAATGTAGTAAAAATGGTGGATTTTGTTCAAAACCTAATCAATGTCAATGTAAATCAGGTTGGACTGGTATAACATGTAATCAATGTATTAAACGTGAAAATTGTTTACATGGTAAATGTTTACTTGGTAATGATTGTGTATGTGATTCTGGTTGGACTGGTTATTTATGTGATAGTAAAAAAGTAATTTATGAAAAATTGGAAAATGATAATGAAACAAATCATACAGAGAATGTTACCCAGGATATAACTACTCAACAACCTGTGGAACATTCTATTACAAATTCATCATTTGAAAAGATAAATATGAAACCAATTCGTACACTATATCAACGTAATATAGAATTTCAAATTGATGGTTCATGGGGACCACAATTTACTGCGGTACTTTATATTCATCATTATTATCATCAGCAGCATGATCAAATGATACCTGAAATTATTTCAACACAAATTACAATAGAACAAATTGATAATTGTTCAAGTAATGCTATTGCATTACAATCAATATCTAATCAAACTAATTTAAAATTAAGTCAAAAGATAGCAGATCCTGGTGAAAAAATTCAAATGATTATCAATCCACAAGGTTTATCTCAATCAATCAATTATTCTGATATAAAATCAATAAAATTCAATCAATATTATGATCAAGATCAATTATTGAATGAATTATGCTTTATTCGTATTTCTGATATATCATTAGATAATTACCAAGGTGATAAAAATTTAATCAATTTACAATATTTTAATAATAAATTAATTGAATTTATGAAAGAAAGTGAATATAGACCATTAATTGCTAGTTCAACACAAGAAGCATTTTTAGCTGCTGGTTTTCAAATTGGTTCAACTTATCCAGAACCAACATTTATTCAACGTGTTTATCCATGTCCTTATTTAGCTTATTCAAATACATTAGATATTGTAATGGATGATAATGTTGATGATAATGTATATAAAACAGGAAATTCTCAATCAAATTCATTACGTAAAAATTTACATCATGTAATGAAACCAAGATTAAGAGATTTCTTCCCTGAAGTATGGTTATTCGATGTTATACCAATTACTGATTTACCGATTAATAATAATAATAATAATAATAATAATAATAATAATAATAATGAAAATGATATTAAAAATGTCGAATTCAAACAAATGAATACATTAAAAAGTATTGAACTTAATCTTACTGTACCAGATACTATAACAAGTTGGAGAGCATCAGCTTATTGTACAACAAAAGAGAATGGTTTATGGATTGGTGAACCACAAATTTTAACTGTAACTATGCCATTTTATATTGAAATCACTTTACCAAAAGAAATGAAACGTGGTGAAATTTTACACATTCCTATTAGTATCTTTATATTAGATAGAAAATATCTAAATCCTATACATAATCATCTTAATCAAACCGAATGTTATGATACTATAGTTAGAATACAATTAAATAATACTGAATGGTTAATAACTACATCAAATGAATTTACTGGTTGTATATGTTCTGGTGAAAAATTAACTTATTTAATTGGTTTATTACCACAACAATTAGGTCAATTAAATGTAACTGTTGAAGCATTTGCTAGTAAACATAGTGAATCTTGTGAATTCATTCAAACAAATAATAATGATAATAATCAAAGTTTAATATTTGAATCACAAATGAAAATAAATCAATCAAAATTATTATCTGATAAAATGACTCGTCAAATTCATGTCATCCCTGAAGGTATTCAACAAGAAACAACATTTAGTGATATTATTTGTTTAAATGAACAACAAACTATATCAACGCGTCATTTTGAATTTATAATACCTAATAATATTATTAAAGATTCATTTCATAGTTATATATCATATAGTGATGAAGTATTAGGACCAGCATTAGTGAATTTAGATAATCTTATACGTTTACCAACTGGTTGTGGTGAACAAAATATGATATTAGTAGCACCAAATGTTTATATATTAGATTATTTAAAATCTACACCAAATACTGGATTCAATGATAATAAAGAAAAATATATACAATCAGCTCAATCTTATATTCTATCTGGTTATTATCAACAAATGAAATATCGTCGTGATGATGGATCATTTTCTGCATTTGGTCAATCAGATAAACATGGTAGTACATGGTTAACAGCATTTGTATTACGTGTATTTGCTAAAGCTTATCTATTACAATCCAATTTAACGATTGATTGGAATCATTTATTTAATGGTACTATAAATTACTTATTAACTCATCAAAATAATGAAACTGGTTGTTTTGAAGAATATGGTAAAGTATTATATTCTCCATTACAAGGTATTAGTGGAATAGATGAAATACAATGGAGAAATATTCTACTAACAAGTTATGTTAGTTCAGCATTATTTGAAATACAATCAACATTGAATAAAGATAAGACTGAGAATTATTTACATGCTAAAAACTATACTACTGAAATAAATAGATCATTTGATACTACTTTCAAATGTTTAAATAATAAATTAATGAGCCTTAATTCTTTGAAAGAGATACCTACATCAGTACTTGTTCAATTAAGTTATACTTATACAATAATTAGACCATATGATGATATAACTATACAACTTCAAAATGAAACAATTCATAGAAAACAAATTGAACATGATCAATTTGGTACAAAAATATATTGGTCAATGAATTCTAATGAAAATAACACTATAGCAACCGAACAAAATCAAAATGAACCACGTAATTTAGAATTAACAGCTTATGCATTTTTAATGTTTAATTCTATGAATCAATCTATTCATGATTTATTTCCAATGATTCGATGGATTAGTTCACAACAAAAATCAAATGGTGGTTTTTATTCAACACAAGATACAATACTTAGTCTTGAAGCAATCGCTGAATTTGCTAAACGATTAGATTTATCAAAAACTTTACATTTCAATTTATCATCAAATCTACTTATGATTTCAAATAAAATGAATTATGGTAACTATACAATGAATGATTTAATGACTCCAGACAAACGACAAGTGATTAATCAAATTGAATTACCTCAATATAATTTAAATGATCATAATGAAAAGATCATACATTCTATTTGGGAATTAAAAACGAATCAATCACAAACCGATTGTATATTAGTACAAAATACATTTATATATAATTTACCTGAAAAGAAAAATATTGATAAAAAGATTAAATTATCTATGGATATTATTCAACAAAATCAATTATCAGATGTGAACTGTAAATTAGCTACATTATCTATGTGTTTACAATTGAATAATATGAAAAATTTAAGTATTATCAGTACTGGAATGTTATTAATACGTGTTGCTATGGTAACTGGTTGGGAACCAATATTAGAAGAATTACATTTACAAATAGGTTCTGATGATGAATCATTAAGAAAATTTACTATCAATGATCAAAATGAAATTTCATTATATTTTGATGAATTTTCTAATAATGAAACTATAAAATTAGGTGGTGATTGGACAAAATTAAAACGATGCGTTAATTTACCATTAAAACAAACACATTATGTACAAAATGCTAAATTAGCAACAATCACTGGTTATGAATATTATACACCAGATGAAAGTGTTACAATTCCTTATCAATTAGATGAATGTAAACAAGGATGGAATATAACTATCAATGAATCATCAATAGATCATTTTACTGAATCTATCATAACTACTGATAGTTCTATAGAGGATACAATAACTCCACAAATGAAAACAATTTGTCCATTATGTATAGATCAAATGAATAATACAATATTACTTGCTGATGAACTATTTACATCTGTATGTAATTATACAAATGGTATATTTCTTATCAAAGTTTTAGAATATAATAATATTACTATCAATGTGACAATCATTCAAATATCACAATCTGGTTATACAGCTAGTTGGAATACCACTATATTGTTCCCGAATTTTATAGGATGTTCCTGTCAATTAATTCATACACATCAATATTTAATATTATTTTTTGATCAAGATACTACTATTTATCAAGGTGTTGCTCAAATTGATTTTAATACATTAAATGTTACTGCTAAATTGATATCTACTAATGATATATTACCTCATTTAGAATTAGCATATCAAAAATGGTTAACTATATCATCTCATTTAACCATTGATGAACATTCTAATTATTATGATTTCTTTACTTATAATTGTAAACGATTACCATGGATAATTAAATATATTGAAGAGAAATTTATGAATTAAACCATTTGTAATATGAAATAATGATAAGTTTTGGAAAAACAAAAACAAAACAAAACTAGAAAAAAAAGAGTAATCATTTTACCTTTTTGCGTGGGCGTATGTATCTGTGTGTGTGAATTCTTCACCTTGACGACATATTTTGTGCTTATGATTATTATCCTCTTTTTCCCCCAAGTAAATATTGATTAGAGAATAATCTTTTTTTTGTGTGTGTGTTTAAAGGAATAAAAACTTTATTTAAATACTCATTCGTTTTGATATTAATTATAATTGAGATGATCATATTCATTGTCAATATCTGATAGCTGGAATTTTTGGGAATGTTTTTGATCGAGTTTTGTTCTTTGAACTGAATAGTTTGGTTGTGTTTTTTGTTCATTTACTTACTTGCTTACTTAGTTACTTTCATCTGTTACTCTTAATGGATCATAGGCCACAGACCAGCATTCTCCAATCCACTCTGTCCTGGGTTTTCTTTTCTAGTTCCATCCAATTCTCGTTAATTTTTCAAATGTATATCTCCATTTCCCGGCGTAATGTGTTCTTTGGTCTTCCTCTTTTCCTATGGCCTTAAGGATTCCATGTAAGGGCTTGTCTTGTGACGCAGTTAGGTGCTTTCCTCAATGTGTGTCCTATCCATTTCCAGCGCTTCTTCTTAATTTCTTCCTCCGCTGGTTTTTTCTGGTTTGTTCTCTTCCATAATAGGTTGTTGCTGATAGTGTCCGGCCAATGAATCCGAAGTATTTTGTGTAGACAGCTGATAATAAACACATGTGTCTTCCGGATGATGGCTTACGTAGTTCATTTAATGAATAAATATTACATGTTTGTGTATAATTTTTAACAGAGATTTGGTTTTGAGAGTCTAGATTTATCTTGTAATCAACTTTTATGAATATATCATTGTAGGTCAATCAAGTTGGTAGGATAAAAGATAGAAATATAGTAAAAAGTTGGAGTGAAAAATAACATTTTTAATAAAGATCATACATAGTATGGTACTATAGCGACTCACGTGCAAATGGTTTTATTCTCATTTAACTCAGTTAAGCCCTTTTGCTAACTTATTTAGCGGACAAAGTCATCCGCACTATAACAATTTATTGTACCCTTATTATTTTGTGTTTGTATGAATTTGTATGCTTGAATATTGTTTACTGCCTACGCATTTATTCACTCTGCTAGTTTTACTACTAACCGCTTATTCGATTCGATTACTCATTCATTTCGCATGGTATATATATGTCCATGTTATTCATGTTCAACACTTACTCACTCACTCACGCGCTCTCGTCACGCTCTTGCTCTCGCTCTCGCTCGCTTGCTTGCCTTTTGGCGCAACTCTCCTATGCTTGGTTAATGCATCTGTACATTTGGATATATGTGTGTGGTCTCGCAATAAACGTAATCAACACTTCGTATTTTGCCTTCTGATTATTATACCGTTGGGGCGTTATACAGAACGGTTAGCAAGACGAATTGTATACGAAGTTAAGGATTATATCGAATACCGACCACCACATAATTGGCGATCCCGACGCGCGAACGCGAAACAATCTTCAACGACATAATCCAATTCCTAAAATCCAACGTACTCGATTGCAATTGTAACTATCATTTGGATTATAATTATAACTGTGGATTTATTATCTCATTATTTTAATTATACGTACATTATCTCATAAACATTATTGAACATCTCGATAATATTCATAGTAAACAACGATATTTTACAAACAATTGATATTTTGGTGCAATTTAGTAAGTTCGTTCTTTGTTATAAATTGTACCATTTGTTTTTATCATTGTTTTTATCGACTCACTTTTTTCTGTGACATTCGCATTATATTTGTGTAATTTTGATCTTTATAAATATGTCTTTAAGTAACGATACAGTAGAACTTTCACAAACGCCGTCCGTGAGGTCCATTAATGTAACTACTCCTCCTTTTAAAGTCACAGATCCTCAACTTTGGTTTACCAGGCTTGAACATTACTTTGTAGCTAATCGTGTTCATACACAGCGAGATAAATTTGGCCACGCGAGCTCGCTACTTCCAGATGAAGTAGCAGATAATGTACGAGAGATTTTAATCAATCCAGACATAGAAAAGCCATACGACGCATTAAAACAGGCAGTGATTAAAGCCGTCTCATTAAGCGACCGGCAAGCCATCGATCAACTTCTCAGTCAAGTGCAGATAGGAGATAGGACTCCATCGCAACTAAAAAACTATATGAGAAGCATAATCAATGACAGAAAAGTTGATAAAGACATATTTTATCAGTTGTGGTTACGACGACTTCCAGCGAACGTGCAGCAGATCCTCGCGGTTGAGGACAGCGATGTCGATATAGACAACATTGCTAAAATAGCCGATAGGATTTATGAGAGAATGAAACAAACGAGTCCGCAAGGTCATAGTACCACAGTAGATGGACGAATCGATGCGTTACAAAAGGAGATTAATGTTTTATGCCACAAGCTGACGAAGCTAAATCAGAGCGATACGCAAAGAGGATGGTCACGAAGTAGATCGAAGGAAAGAAGTCGATCACGTTCTAGTAGACGCTCAGCTCCTACAATATGTTGGTACCATCAAACTTTCGGCGATAAAGCTCGAAACTGTAGACCGCCATGTAAATTCAAGCGATCACACCGATTGTCTATAACCGCCGCAACAACTACAACAGCTCCTAGAAACAGTCGTTTATTTTACGTTCAGGATAGAGTAACAGGCGCTCAATTCTTAGTGGATACGGGAGCAGAAGTAAGCGTCGTGCCTCCAGTAAGTAACGAAACACGAAATATAGATACAGCGCTAACGCTTAAGGCAGCAAATAAATCCGATATAAAAACATATGGCAAGCGAAAAGTAACCTTGAATTTCGGTCGTATTACCCCATTCCGCTGGGAATTCATTATCGCAGATGTAGCCGTACCTATAATCGGTATTGATTTCTTAAAGAATTTCGACTTACTAGTGGATACCCGACGAAACCGACTCGTGAACGGCGACCATTCAGTAGTGATAAGAGGAGTGACGACTGATCACGCATCCATGAGTTTAGTAGTGTCAGAAGATAAAAGAGAGCCATATAGATCGCTTCTAAACGAGTATGCCGACCTGACTAAGGTATCATACGATAACAGAGATCTTAAACATACGGTACAGCACCATATTATAACGAAAGGTCCACCGACTAACTCAAGACCACGAAGGCTAGATCCGAAAAGGTTGAACGTCGCGAAACGAGAGTTCGAAAAGTTGATGAAGCTTGGTATCATAAGACCTTCTAATAGTCCCTGGGCGTCCCCATTGCATATGGTTTCGAAGAAAAATGGGGAAATCAGGCCGTGCGGAGACTATAGAGCTCTTAACAAGCAAACGATAGCAGACAGATATCCGATACCACATATCCACGACATGACTACCAATATGGAAGGTGCCACGATATTTTCGAAAATCGATCTCGTTCGAGCTTATTACCATATTCCTGTAGCGGCAGAAGATATATCTAAAACGGCTATAACTACTCCATTCGGGTCATTCGAGTTTTTGCGAATGCCATTCGGATTAACTAACGCAGCCCAAACCTTCCAAAGATTCATCGATCAAGTCGTCAGAGGTTTGGCAGGAGTTCACGCATATATCGACGATATACTAGTAGCTAGCGCTACCAAGGAAGAACATCTACAACATCTACGACAGTTGTTTACGAAACTTCAAGAACATGGCATTTCTATAAACATTGAGAAGTGTGAATTCGGAAAAGAGTCTTTACAGTTTTTAGGTCACAATGTAACTTCTCGAGGCATCACACCAGTAACAACAGAAGTCGACGCCATTAGGAATTATCCTCTACCCGACTCATGGAAAAAGTTACGCAGATTTCTCGGGTTAATAAACTATTACAGACGATTTATCCCGAATTGTGCGTCAATATTGCAACCATTAACAGATGCGTTACGCGGACACGCACGGACATTCCAATTATCATCAGAAGCGATTCAAGCATTCGAGCACGCTAAAAAAGCACTAAATAAAGAAATGACACTAACTAGACGAAAGAGCGAGACACCGTTAGCTATCATGACGGATGCATCAGACGTAGCGGTAGGAGCCGTTTTACAACAATTAGTAAATGGCATATGGGAACCGCTCTCATTTTTTTCGAAAAGACTGAATCCGACTCAAACAAGATATAGTACTTTCGGAAGAGAACTCTTAGCAATCTACTTAGCGATAAAACACTTCCGTCATATGGTCGAAGGCATAAATTTTACCGTCTATACAGACCACAAACCACTAACGAAAGCATTAAGCGCAAAGCAAGACAATTATTCCCCGAGAGAGATTCGACAATTAGAGTTCATTTCACAGTTCACGTCCGACATACAGTACATTAAAGGACAAGAAAACGATGTGGCCGACGCATTGTCAAGAGCAACGATAAGCACACTTATGGCTAGTGGAATCGATTATAACGGTCTGGCAAAGTTGCAGGAGAGAGACGTCGAGTTAAATAAACTCAGATCCGGTGGCACAACATCATTAGTACTCGAAGAGGTGCGGTTCGGTAACACGAAAGTAATTTGCGATACATCAACAGGCCGACCGCGACCATTTATCCCGAAAACGTTGCGACACAAAATATTCGAAAGCATGCACAACATGTCGCACCCAGGAATAAAAGCCACGATAAAGCTGATTAGTGAACGATTCGTTTGGACAAACATGAATCACGATGTACGTAATTGGACACAGGCATGCATGAAGTGCCAAAAGGTTAAGGTACATCGTCATACTAGCTCTGCAGTGGGTCCGTTTTCACATCCAGACACTAGATTTGAACATATACACATCGATATCGTAGGACCACTGCCCGTTTCAAATGGATACAACTATATCTTTACATGCATCGACAGGTTTACACGATGGCCGGTAGCAGTACCGATAAAAGACACCTCAGCTGAAACAGTAGCTAAAACACTAGTT